TTCAAAGATATGTGTGAAGTCAACCAACCCGCACTTGGCCAGCGTGGTTGACTGTGACCTAGCCACCCCTTATTAGGGTAGGCTCCTAGCCCCTCGGTGGGGACGTATAGTGAGCTGGTGATGATACTAATATTATAAATTCGAAGGTTTAGATGCATGGATGGATGTTTGTAGTCTAAACTACTGAACAGATTTCGATGATAGTCTGGAAGAACACATAATCACTTTTGTTTTTTTAATTCCACGATCGGAGTTGCGGGCGAAAGCTAGTATATCAATTATCCTTTAAACTAAGAATATAATAAGCATAGCATGGCGCACCTATCGGCTTTTTATTACGTCACTTTTTGGGCGATCTTAGTTGCATATTTTAATGGAATATGCTCAAATTTTTTATATTTCTGGTCAGACTATACTTATATACAGACTAGGACACAAAAATGACGAATGAATCAACCAAAAAAAGTTGTTTTAACGTGTATTTATAACCTGTATACTTATATAATCTCAATTTAATCATTAAACCATTTCTTTACGAGGAAAGTTTGACCTAAATTCCAGAAACTATTAAGATTATTCTATTGTTTTATTAAACGATTATTAACCGTCACGCTATAAACATTTTTCGTTAAATTTACAACAGAGAAAGTTGGCTTTGTGCAAAAGTCGTAAACGGACATACCGCTTAAATCAACGTAGTTTATCAGACCTTTAGCTTTACAAGCGTAAAGGTTTATTCATTAATAAGATAATCGTCGATGTATAATGCCATTCAAACTTTATAGCGGCTCGGAATTTTAAATAAGAAGTGCCGCACTGCGTTTAACGTACAAAGTAGTAGATATATCTGTGTCGAATTCGTAGCCTCATCGAACTTACATGCCCGTAACTGTCATAAAGTCAAATCTATTAGCTGCACGCTAGTTACAGTCATGCCAATCAACGGCGGATCCAGGAGGAGGCTTGGGGGTCATGACCCCCCAAAGTCAAGAGCCTTGATGCCAGTGCAAGTAGGTTCAATGCAAGTGAGCCAGCTTTAGGCATGTAATGCTGCCTTTAGTAACAGCGGAGAAAAGTGATGCGCGGTAACTTAACTGCTTGTAGCGAACTGCGAACTGCCATAAAGATTGAATCTTATGGGTTCCGCCTCATGTGACACGTGCATTGTTATCCCTTTCATTCTCTTTGAATAAATAGAGACAGCAATATATGTCATTACAAGTCTTCCGCGAGTGGAATTTCACGGTTATATTAAAGTCCGATTCGCGGTCCGTTTCCGGCCTTCCCGACTTTCTAAATAACTGACATCTCCAGTCTTGTCTGTCGCCCACACAAGTGCGTAGCGGTTTATAAATAATCAGCGTTAAAGAAATTTGTGTATCTGTTAGAGATTGTTACGTTTGTTATTCATTAATTACTGATTGTAAAATTATCCGACTTGAAGGACCATAACATGTAATGTGGTTGGTGTAATTTTTTTGTATTCCATACAAGCTCTGTTCCAACTCCTCAAGACTAAAGGCGTGATTTACCAGAATATTAAAACCGTTGTAAATTCTTTCTTAACTTTATCAGATCTGCAGCGACTTTTACTTAAATCGAACCCGGAACTGCTAATGAGATCGACCGATCCTTCCGCATTGTGGGTCCATTGTAAACATTCGTCGGGTCAATGAATAGACTGGGTAACCTTATCTGTACCAGATCGCGTTTATAGACAGTATCGGAGTTATGAAATGTCTCTTGGGATTACAGTGACCGAAGTCAACGTGGTTCGAATTTAATACTTTGATATTATCGTAAGGATCCTTTTAAATCGATATAAACATCGTATGCTTTTCAATAAGTTAATCGGAATTTAATCGAGAATGACACAATTGTTTCGTCTGAAATTAGGAAGTACTGTTTCCAATTAGAATTGGAAACCAGCTTTCGGTCGTGACGCCGACCGTGCGGGAGGAATTAAAAAAAAACTAAGTATACTATGTGTTCTTCCAGATTATGTTTTAAATCTATGCCAAATTTCATCGAGATCCGTTCAGCAGTTTAGGCTACAAACTCTAACAAACATCCATCCATCTAAACTTTCGCATTTATAATATTAGTAAGATGTAATAAAATACAAGAGTTAAATTTAACATCAAACTATTCCATATAATTATCACATATCGATATTACAAATGAATAAATAAATCGAATTTAACATCGATAAAAATCGAAGTGAGTAGGATAATAAAATCGAAATTCGGTTACGTCAGATATCGATGATTTTCGCTCATTGATGTACCGACGGAGTGCATTTTTAAGATTGCAAGTCGAATTACAAAAAAGCATTAAACCTTACGCAAGCGTAACTGTCCCATAACCGGCTGGTTTGCGACATCATTTCATATGTGACGATATTTTTATAGTTAAATGTTATAAGAAAGTTTGTATTTAGCTTTTATTATGTCAACATGTCAATAAATGCGATCTTCATTTGTTTGTAATCGCTCTACGTATAAATCTTACTAATATTATAAATGCGAAAGTTTAGATGGATGTTTGTTAGAGTTTGTAGCCTAAACTGCTGAACGGATCTCGATGAAATTTTACATAGATGTAGAGGATAGTTTTTAAGAAGACATAGGCTACTTAATGTGTTTTTTTTTAAATTTCACGTGAACAGAGTCCCGGGCGAAAGCTAGTTACTTACTAATTGAAATTAAGGATTCAAAAAATTTTAAAAATACACTATTTCTAACATATTTAACTAGTAGCTGTTGCTCGGGACTTTGTCCGAATGAAATTTAAAAAATGACCGATTTTATTCAACAATAAATTAGATTTTTAAAGGTGAAAGAATTTTAAAAATCAGCCCAGTAGTTTTTCAGTTACTTCAACAAATATAAAAATACAAATCTTTCCTTTTTATAATATTAAAGTTCTGTTAAATAAAATAATTTGTACAGATAACCTAAAATCAAGTACAAATAAATAAAAAAAAAACTTAACACGTTACATGCCACTATGATTTTTGTATGAACTCTTCTAGCGTGTTAAAAGCATTCAACGTATTAATACTTCTAAGATATAAAACACTAGCGATCCATCCCGGATTCGCTTCCAATAATGAAACCTCTAAATTTTTACATTAAAACCTTCCTTTTGAACCACTCTTCTATTAAAAAACTGCATACAATATGTTTCGTACTTTTAAAGGTCTAAAGTATATATTATATATGGACAGACAGACAATGGAAAGCTTTTATATGTAGTAATGCCTACCTTATCTCCTTCAGTATGACCATTAACGAATTCACCGTCTTGTTCCAGCACTTCGTTATTAGCACTTTTCGCACTGTCCAATCTTAACTCACTGTCTTTTAAGGTATATTCATGCAAACCACCATTCTCCAAGAGTACTTCATTAATGTCATTCGTTCCATTCTTATTCAATTCATCATTCATTTTATATTCTATGATACAATTATCTTCTCTTAATTCGAGTCTAACCGTTTTTGTATAATCTGTGTCTATTCCGATTCGTTTGTCTTTTGTTTTTCTCTTACTCCCGTCATTTGTTTTATCGATTAATTTTATGTTATTGTTATTGTTATATTTATTTAATTCTGTGTTAATATTCTCTATGTAATCGTCGAAATTATTTTTCTTTCGTTTTACGATTATATTATCATTAAACATTTCTTCTACGGAGAGATTTTCGTTCGTTATATCTGGGATGTTGCCGTTCATTTTGGTCATCTTGGTTTAGTTAATTGGTCACATTGTAAGGAACCGCTGGGGGTTATCTGTGACCATTGTCGGTTTAAGGCGGCGTAAATCATCGACAGATCATTATCTTAAGATGACCGCGTTGCAATACCAGTCTAACTTGACCCCCCAGTATAGAAACAATTTCAACTAGAAACCAATTTGCTTAAGATCCCATTACGATGGTCGGCTTATTGTTATAGTGTTGGGCAATCGTGAACTTTTACACGATTATTGTGCCGTCATTACGTTTTGTATGAGAATTCTATTTTCTTTGGATAGTAGATTTGATTGTCTATCTCCCTCTAACTTATATTTGTATCTCGCTTGCTTAAGAATGTTATTGTTTACTTGCCCGTTATCGATTTAGAAAATTGCTCATCTATTCGCGTAAATTCTGCATCACATTTTATTTATTTAATCACTGTATCCAAATTTTTATTATTAATAATAAATAAATAAAACTTCACAATTTAATATTTAAAACACTAAAGTACACTTAAAATGCAATAACAAACTGGCACATAAGAAATAAAAAAAACTGTCAAGAATCTTAAAAATTAAATTGTTCTTAATTTAAATTCGTATTTCGCGCGCTTGTCGCGGGGCACGTGAGCGCGCGTCGCTCGGGGCTATCACATGGAGTGGCCGCGCGCAGCCGCGCTGCGGGACGCGTAAAGTTGGGGAGTGTAGTACTCTCACACATTGAAGAAACACGAAAGCACATACGCTTACAATAATTTGTACGTGGACTACTTTTTTCTGTTTAATTAACTAATAAGCGGTTGTACAAATTATATTATTTAACAGTGTCTTTTTTTATGTTTTATCGATTTTTTATTCAAGACATTTAAAATACTTAAACTTCAATGACGATAATCAAATACAATTTTTCATTTTTAGAAGATAAATTAATGTGACTATTGAATTAAATGTTAAAGTTTTATCTTATGTTTTTAACTATACTACACGAAAAGCTTCCTTCTCGCACCACGTTGCGAATCTATAACATTGTTTCTTTCATATACCAGTTTGATTGTAGATTGTACATGTGTGTACACGTATAAAGGAGGTTGCATGTGTGTGTGCAATGACGCTCATATTTTTACTGCAGTAAAGAATTAAATTCCCTTCCCACTTAACATTTAATATACTACTAATTGATAAGAGCTATAATTTATTACGTTCATATGTAACTATGATATGATATCGACCTTATTCAGATATGATATTTAAAGGATTTTTTATAAAGATGGGTAGGAAATTTAATTCCTCGGCTACATCGAGGTTGGATGTGTATGTAATTTATAAGTTCGTATTTTGAACTGACTACATGTTGTCATTAGGGTCAAAATTTCACGTTTGAAAATTGAATGGTGTTACGTCATTTTGCTATTGAGTCGATTTTCGGCATAATGTAGTTGTTTTTTTTTTTCATTTAAGATTTTCGTCTACAACTTTTTTAACATTAGGCCTGATTTAAAAAGTAGTTATATTTTTTATTATATTGAGTCCATTACCTATCCAATTTTTTTTAAATTATTTTTCAATATTTAGGTAGGAGAAATACCCCCTTTCCCTCATCGTCCTCTTTATTAATTAAAGGTTGGCAGCGCTATGCAAATGTTGATGTGTCAGAGATATATGGAAGGAACACATACTGTGCCGACCCTCTGTAGGGACAATGGTAAGATGGCTATAGTTAAGCTATAATCTAAACTAATATAGTAAACACACACTACTTCGTGGCGTAGGATGTCAGCAATTGCATCAGATTTTTGAATAACTCTTTCTTTAATAAAAAGCCCTACACTTATGTCACGCTTTAGGCTATATATTTTAACGCTATTAAATTTAGGGGTTAAATAAATTAGAACAAACCTCCATGTGGGAAAGGGACTATAAACTACAAGCTGCCAACATTAAGGAACCAAGGTTATTGGTAACCGTTGTGTGTTCCTTGGAGATCCCGAAACCTTCGTCAATGTCACTAGAGGATGGCTACCGAGGGGATTTTAATAGGTAAAATCCTACATAACCCTGCCTTCCCCCCAGAATGCTGGGTATCTTTTGAAGATTTCCCCCCGACAACAAAAAAAAGTTTATTGGTAACCGTAATTTTGAAATTTGCGATTAAGAATTTGACAAATTTAAACAATAAAATAAAGTTTTTATAATTTCATGCGGATGAACAGCTAGTACGAGATAAAATATTAAAGTTATGACCTAAATACAACTTAACTAACGTGTATCTCACGAGTGATATAGGTCTTCGTGTTTTGAGAGTGATGTCCAATTATTATAATCGATTTTCATCATCGAATCTTTGACGTTAATAGTCTTTAAAACTATTGTCAGATGTATTTAAAAACTCATTAATATCTTACGGTATCTTAAGACTATTGTTTGGTCACTCGACGAGTACTATACGTATAAAAATACAAACTTTCGCGAGACTTAGTCCGTGAAATAAAACAAAAGTAACCTATGTATTCTTAACTTATATATTCTTGAAGGCGATGGTAAATGGGTAGGCTCCGAGCCCCTCGGTGGGGACGTATAGTGAGCTGGTGATGAACCTATGTGTTCTTCCAGATGTTCTATATCTATGCCTTTGAGATCGGTTCAGTTTAGATTATACACTTTATCAGCCTTACAAATAAACGCTGTATAAAATTAAACTTAAGAATAAACTGAGTTAGTACAAGTTTTGCTTATACTCAGTTTATTCCTAAGTTTAACTTTATTTGTAAGGCTGCTGTAACGCGTTTGTTTGTAAGGCTGTAACAATCCATCTTTCACATCAATACTGATATTATAAAGAAGGAAGATTTCTATTTTTGTAGGTATTGAAATAACTCAAAAATACTAGACCGATTTCAAAAAATCTCTCATAATTAAAAAGCTACGTTATCAGTGAGTAATATGGGCTATGATTTTTTTTAATATCACGCGAGCCTAGTCGCGTGCAACTGCTATAAACAATATACTGCTATGCTATAACATTACTAAGAAGTAAAGTTTTACTACCATATTATGAACTAGGTATCCCGCCCAGTTTCACCTTTTTTTTTGGTGTTGGGGGGGGATCTTCAAAAGATACCCTGCCTTCTGGGGGGAAGGCAGGGTTATGTAGGATTTCACCTACTAAAACCCCCTCGGTGGGCCTAGTTTCACCTAGACAGCAAAGTACGGCTCTTCTTTCTTTCATATCTTTACCCTTCCCATAAATTTAAACATAGCTTATATGTCTCTACATGGATTCCTTAGTTAGAGTTAGCAAAAAAATCAGTAGTCAAAAAGCTCCGTTAGCTTTTATTCTAAACTTATTTGTGGATAAATTTTCAAGAACAAAAGATTTCAACGAGCGCTGTTAAGTTAACCCACGCTCTCTTCACTAACACTATGGTTTTTTACTCAACCAGTACGATATTAAATTAAAAATATTCGCAACTTTTACGTTTAAGATGTTAAGTAAATTAATAAAACTCTTATTAAAACAGTTCAAAAGTAAGTTTCATGAAATTAAGTTAAATTCTTTACCTTATTATTAGTCTTTTTTTAATATTTTTTAAAGAGAAAAATTTCTTAAGAGGAAAAAAGAAAAGGGGATTTTACGGTGGAGGTGATTCATAGAAAAGGAAAACATCCTGTTTATGAGCGTCTCCTCTTTCGTCGATTAAAGGCAGACAACGCGTCTGCAGTTGCAGTCTGCAATTCAAGTTCCCGTTTACTCGTTTGCCATCTTATAACAAAAACCTTGTTTTTTTTCTAACAAATTCTTCTATCTATAAATCAAATAAAAACGTCTCAAATGAAATTACAGACGTCAAAAGGTATAGACAGTCAACAGTTTGTTTAGAGTACACTCATGGGTTTTAGAAAAGACTTGATAGAACAGTGAGCAGTCAAAATATTTAAAAAGTCTGTGGGCGTTGAGGTCAACGGTCACGAGCAGTACCTACATTTTGATGTTCTGCTGTCAATATGAAAACATAGTTGTAAAATAGGTATAAAAAGATTCAAAATTTATAACGGCTCGTAGTTAGCCGACGCGCATGTCTTTGCAAATGTGTGCATGATCAAGTTTGATTAGAGAAAAGTACCAGTGTTCCATCGATATATCAAATTGTATAATCGTATCTTATTATGGGCCTGTCCCACCAAATTGTAAATTGTCTGATAACAATCGAACGTGTAAAATATGTGATGGAAATATCGGATTTTGTTCCCTTATTGACAGTGACGTCATTTACAATGCTGTGACAGGCCCTTACTTTTATAAATGTGAAAGTTTATATGGATATTTGTTAGAGTTTGTAGCCTAAACTGCTGAATGGATTTTGATTAAATTTGGCATAGATGTAGAGCACATTCTGGAACACATAGGATACTCAGTTTTTTATTCCACTCGGACGTAGTCGCGGTCAAAAGCTAGTGATTCAAAAATTTACATTAATATTTAAAGAGACGTAAGTAAAACCCGGATAGAGGTATAGTTTTTTTGTATTGACACTAGTGGGCGTTAGTGTCTCCTCGTTGACATGTCGAGAGGCTGAACATGAACCGTTGACTTAAATCGAATAACAAGTGCTTTGGTATGATACTTACCACCTACGACTTTAACATATTAGTTCTTAAGTACAATTATATTTAAATATCATAGCGCTAAAATCAGAACTATTAGAAAGATTGAATGAAAGTAGGTTTTATATGTTAATAGTAAAATAAACGTATTGGTATTGATTGGACGGCGTTTTTTAGTACTAAAGTCATCAATCTGATGAATATTACAGCTCTTCGAATTTTAGTTTAAAACAGACACAAGCTATCATACAGATCGTTGAAATATTTTCCTAAGTTTCAAATAAAGCTTAAAGTTACTCCATCTAGCGCTGAGTTAAAAAATCAAATAAAAGCCAACTTGAAAAATGATAGCTTATTCTAGTAGATGGCGCTTTTTAGCCTCATAAAGTTAAATGATTAATAACTTAAATTATTTTTCAGACTTTTTTATGTGGAATTATTCATCTCAACAATATGCTGAAAGCCAAAATTTAATCAAAACAAAAACTTATATGGATTCTTTGTAGCGACATCTGTTATCCAGTAGTAAAAAATAAAGCTTTTGCGAAACTCACCCAGGCGGCGTTGCTATCGTTGGAGACCGTTTGGAATGTTGGGACACATCGAAAGGTCATTTTTACTTTTAATTTTACTATTCTTAACACAATTGTAACTTTTAATTTCTTCTCACAGCTTACCTAGAACAAACAAAACACATACTTAGTGATCGGAATCTTTAATTGCTGGTTTAGATTTAAAAACCATTTTACAAACTTTAGAGATTGCTAAGAATCCATTTGTAATATTCCATAAAGATTCAAATTGGTTTTGAAACTGATTCCCTCTGGTTAAAATATCTAATTATGGCCAGTTTTATCTATACCTAGTGCGT